TCTGGTACAATCGATGTGGCGATGCTTTCCACATTGTGCAGTCGAACAAATCCTGTCTCAATTTATGACTTGTTACCCCACCTTTTCTAATAATTAAGTACGCCAGATGGCTTTCAAAAAGTTTGTTCACTTATCTATAAAATAATAATGTCGCGATATTATAAAACCTGTTTCGTTTACTACATATTTTCTTATTTCATATTTCCCTAAGTTATCACAAGAGTCAAATTTTCTACTTACAGAACTCCACCAACAGGAATGGATGTTTCTTTATAACTTCCTGGAAATTACTGTTGGTCAGCACAAGTACTCCATCTTCGACTTTCACTTCTTCTTCGGCAAAAGCACCCGTTGCAGCAACGGCCACCAAAAGTAGCGCACAGATTAAGAGCTTCATGTTTTTTTATCTGTTTGTGATTATTTAGTTGCTAACTTGAAATATATCACGTTCCCGTCGAATAAAATAACCAATTTCCAAAGAAACCAAACCCTTCGTCTCGACTGGCAAGTGTAAAATGAAATGAACGAACTAATTTTCACTGAAAGCAAATGCTGATGACGAGTATGCAAATGGAAGAAAAAGTGGAGACTTTTCGGTTTACAGTGTTTCCACAAGCTAGTGCAAACAGGATTGTCGTTGCATTGCGGGCGGGTGCCATCAAGTGTCTTGTCAAAATTTATTTACATATATTTAAGTGAAACTGATGAATTGTTTGGGCAAAAAGGGTATCTTTTAAAAAATATGTAGATTTAGGCCGCTACATATCAACGGGCGTGAATTGAGTTAGAATATTTGGCGACCTTACTATTCGATGTGGTGTTATAAAATTTTAAATGCAACTATGCGTTTTTGCACTTGTACACGTTTCTTGTTGCACCTAATGCATCATCAATTACGCATCAATTACAGGTGATAGGATAGAACATGATTCAATAATAAAAGTTTAGATAATTATTGACAGCCGCGGTTTGACACTCCCTTACAAAAGGTTGCATTTACGAATTTATTGAGGGATAGAAGCTATGCTTCTTCTTATGAGCACGCTTCATGATTCAATAATATTATGCGCGTTCCTTATCTCCCAGAAATAGTCAGAAAAAGTCCGAAGTAGTCAGATTTAGTCCAAAAAGCGTTCCTTAACTCGGAAATGACAGCAAAAATGAGAGAGCAACAGTCAGTGAGAGCGACTCTCATCAGTCCGAAGTAGTCATGATTCAATAATACAAGAGGTTCATTCCTTATCTTTTTGGACTAAAATCTGAAAAGTGTCAAAATGCCAGAGCGTAAGCAAAATGCGCTCACT